TTTACAGATGTAATTTCCAAAAAATTCCCAGAGAATAAACTGAAAAATTAACAGAAACAAAACAAGAATGCAGTAAGGTGTCTGGATAAGAGATTTGTATCTAAAAATCAGTAGCTTTGCGATGTGCCAGCAGTAATCTGCTCAGACATCAGTAAATATATCACTCACATTTTAAACAAAAAATTAAAAATGCCTTGAAATAATGTAACCAGAAATACAAGAAAGGATATGAAAACGTGGCTGCTAAAGGACATGAAAGAATGTAGTACTAGATTCTGAGATGCAACTTTTTTCATTTGTTCTTCCTGAAAAACCATTAGGTTGATGTGCATTGCAGTGTCATGGTTATATATGAGTCTAAGGAAAATCAGATGAAATGTCCAAATTAAACCATGAAGGTGCATTGGGTCAGTGGAGCAAAGCAGAGTTAGAGGGAGAAGCAAGGAGGAGGAGGGATCACGGAGGTGGTATCTGTCTGTCCCACAGGAAGCAAAAGCTGACGCCCGGTTGCCAGCACACCTACAGTAAACTTCAGGTCCACTGCATGGCACGTTTCTCGCCACAGTAAAACTATGAAGGAAGTCAGTGTACAAGAAGCTTCCAGAAAATAGGCAGAAGACAGTAGCCAGATGGGCCAAGGGCCCTAGCCACCCACGCCCCTCCCTCTCACTGAAGACCTTCGGCTCCAACCCCACCATCACCAGGGCTCTGCTCAGCTCCTCCTAGTGTGTGTCACCACAGGGCTGCTGGCTTGTGTCACGTTCACCACCAGACCCCACGTCAGGAGTCCCTCCAGGGGTGTGGGGAGGCAGCGTTTCCTGCTTGGCCGCAGAGCCATGTGGAACATGGTGCCTCACAGGCAGTCTGCTTGGAGTCCTGGAGCCTGGCTGTATCCCACTGGAAAGGATGTGTCTGGGTCTAAGATGTGTATATAATAGAAACATGTATTCAGAAGCTTTAGTCAAAACTTCATTTTTAAGTTCAGAGTAATAAACTCATAGTCTGAATTTCCTAATTTTTCTATTTAATTTACATAACTCAGTTAAGTCTAAAAGTTAAGCAGTTCTTGGTGTGGCTATTTGTATGGATTAAAAGTTTACCAATAATATTTTGTGCCACAGTCAATGCAAAATCATGCTGCCGTGTTCCGTGTGGGAAGCGTGTTGCAAGAAGGTTGTGGGAAAATCAGCAAGCTCTACGGAGACCTGAAGCACCTGAAGACGTTTGACCGGGGTGAGCAGACAGCACAGCGGGCTCTGTGCAGTGTTGGGCCCTGCCTTCTGTAGGGTGGGCTGGTGTCTATGCCATCAGTGCTGACTTAGTTCCATGCTTGCTGTCCGGATGGGTCCTGGCCCACAGCCATAAAGCCATAACCAGTGGCTCCACGGACTAGCAGGCCCAGGCTGACAGCTCAGAAGGCCCCTGTGACGGGTCCCGCCGGCCCCTGATGGAACTTTCTGTGTCCCCAGGAATGGTCTGGAACACGGACCTGGTGGAGACCCTGGAGCTGCAGAACCTGATGCTGTGTGCGCTGCAGACCATCTACGGAGCAGAGGCGCGGAAGGAGTCACGGGGCGCACACGCCAGGGAAGACTACAAGGTGCGCCTTCTCGCCACACCCACCTGCGCCTGCCTTTTCCTCCCACCTGGTGGGACTCAGCCCCACCACCCCTGCATTTTCTCTGCATTTTATTTCATTTCCCCAAAAGTAAATCCAAAAAACGCCTTTTTCCCCCTGGTAACTTTGATCCCTGGGTTCCCGCCATCCTCTGGATCACTGTGACCGTTTCCTGGCTTTGGGTCAGTCTCCACTGATGGCAGCAGTGGCATCTCCAAGCCAATGCGCTTTGCTCTTAGAAGGCCAAGTTTAGAAGTGCAGCCAGAGTGGCATGACCAGGAAATAAATGCCAGTTTATTAAATAACGGGTAAGCCACCGTTTCAGACCTGCCCT